GAATCTACTGCACCTACTGGTAACTTGTTTGCCATGTAGCAATAAAAAAATATACTAAAAACCTGGATTATTCTGGTTAGTCACATTGTACTGCTATTATTTTGAACAATACTGTAACAAACTGTGTTCCATGTGGCTGCGCCAGCATAGCGCGTGTTACACAGGCAGCACATGAGGTGGTGGAGATGACAACAGTTTTCATCAAATGGTAAACAGTGAATGGCAAAGTGGTGGCAGCGGTTCTCACTGAGGACGTGGGAGGCAGTTATGAACCAGATCAGTATGAACCAGATCAGTCTGAACGATGCCATTCCAGCTAGCTGGCCACTCTTACATACTTTCTTATTAAGCAGCAGTTTCTCTGCTTTTGAGTTAACAGGGAATACATTAAATATCATTTAGATTTTTCAGAAAACAAATTCAAATATAATAGTTTGAGTATCATTCCAAAGAGCACAGATAATCAAGACACTGACATGATTTCATGTTATTTAATTTCATTCTGTCTTGTCAGTTCATGTCCTGATTTTAGGTCAGAAACAGCAACACATCCTGTTTTGTGTGTCAAAACTAAAATGGAGCAGATACCACACTTGTGTGACATAAACCTACAGGGTGTTGTCTGGAGTTAGAAGGCACTCACAGAGCTGGGTGTTGTCACAGGTTGAAGAGACTTAGCAGGCAAAGCACCAATGACTAACTGATAACTCAGCATACTTGGAATGTGCCTTTTGTATGTCAGTGTATTTGCTTTTACCTGTGTAATGTAATTAGACCGGACATGAGAGAATGAGTGTTGTTTTGAATGTGGCTGTACCTTTGGGTTTTGCCCCGTGTGTGCCCTTCCTCTCTGGCACTTACTGCCTGACTCACATTTATATTTTTCTTCCTTATGGGCCCTGACTTGCCAACATGTGACCTACACACTGTCCTTGCCTTTTTCCACTCCTTTAGCATTTGTCATCCTGCTACCTGCCAGACTCCCATTGACATTGTGCAGCCTATAATTGAACTCCCTCTTTCTCCTCTTTCCGCCCTCTCCCTGATCTCATCTTTCCCCCTTTCCACATCCCTTTTCTCTCTTTCCACCACCCCTTCTCCTCCCTGTCCTCTCCCTCTCTCCATTGTCTCCCTACCCCTGGTATGGGCCCCTTTCTTTCCTCTGATGCTCCTACTTCTTCATCTATTCCAATCCTCATACCTGTCTCCTCCTCTTCTGCTACCCTACCCAACCACCCACCTCTGTCCTTCTCTACTCTTCCCAGCAATCAGAGCCCAACAGCCACCCTCCAGTCCACCAACACCCAGACACAGAGCTCCAGCTCCAGCTCGGGAGATGGAAGCCTATTCCGCCAGAGAGGCAGTCAGGCAGCACAGCCCGACGAGACGGGCAGGGTTCCCCCCTATGTGGACTTCAGTCAGTTTTACCGTCTATGGGGAAGTGACCACGGCGATGGCCAGAGCACCCAGGGAGGACTGGGACCCCAGTAAGGAGGATTACAAAGGTGCTGGGTGCCAGCTACTGCACTGGGACTGGAATTTCTAGCAGCAAGAGGGCACATGGACTGTGAAGGGACAAAGATTGTAAGAGGTGGTTGGGCTGAATGATAAAATTCAATCATTGTATCTTAGCTAAAAATAAGTGACCTAAAGGTGCATGGGGACACATGGAAGAAGAACTGGGCTTTTCAAGGACTTGCTCTCAAAGAGCTGTGAAGCCACTGTGAGAAGGGATGATGTCTAAAACAGTAAGAAAATGATTTTCTGTAATAGATGCTGGCTGCGGAGTGATTGTGAATATATGTAATCCAGATTGTAGCCGTTATTGTCAGATGTAAAAACACATACAAACAGGAGTCTCATAGACCTGAGAGTCTGTGTGAATAATTATTTTAAGGCCTTAAAATGGAATGAATGGGAGGGTTTGAATGTACTTTTTTTATTCATAATGAAAATACATCACCCATATGAATCAACAGGCTCTCTGGGTTTCTCTTCCTACTAACACTTAAAACTTTTACTTGACATATTTGACCATGACCTACCGGAAACAATTCTGCTTGGTATCTTGATTTTCACTAAACAAGGCCTGGAGATTGGCCTGTGGTGGGTGTGACGGCATCTGTGGTGACAGGTGGAGGGGCAAGAAGTAATTTGTCAGAAGAATAATAAACTAAAATGGTTAAACCTGAAAAAAAGGTTAGAAGATGATGAAGGGCAAAAGATCAGCTACAAAGAAATAAACCAACATCAGATTGTTTCTCACAATCAGCTAATAAACCACCATCTCACCTACTCTGTATCCAACATGCATTTACTGTGCATGCATGGGAACTTTCCGTAGTTGGAAATAGAAGTTAGTACTGTGCATAGAGAAGCACTTACAGAATACAAATTCACTGGATACTGCAACACCAGTGACAGTATCAAATAGAGTTTGGTATTGGAACTGACCTCTTGATTCAATTCGGTTTTGATTCACAAAGTCGAGTGACTGATTTAGATTCTTGAAGATTCAGTTCCATCAAATAAATTGTTCTCGTCCCATGATCTTAGTTGTAAGTCTGTAGCATCATTTGTTGTCTCCCAGTAAAAAGTTGTCTTTATAAATCTGATTATTGTGGAGTTCCATATCCAAAGTTTTACAGGGATCCAGAGCAGACTTTAGTGTGTGGTAGAACTTATGTGGATGTTATCGTGCAATTTTTGTCCAAGTATTGTAGGTATTGTGTATGGAGTTAAATGCAAAAATATTGAAATTGGCCCCATCTCACAATGGTACATAAATGCACAACACTAAAATCTAATGGATATTTAATCCAAATCCATTCATTACCATACGAGTTATGCTGTGAACAAACCAACTGAACAAACGGCAGTAAAAATGTGTCCTCCACCATGACGGAGGTAAAAAACGACGTGTGATCGCAGCAACCAAAATGCTGAACCTGAAGTTTGGAGGTCAGCAGTTTAGAGATTTATTGGTGATATAATGTGAGAAAAGCTACAGTAACATGAGGTGTAGGAGAGTTACTGTGTACCTGATTCTTTGACTCTGAAGTGTGGTGTGCTCTCTTAACATCACAAGGAAGAGGAATCAAAGAGGATCCCTCTGACACCTCAGCAGCACGGCACTGATGGATGGAGAACGTGGAGCCTTGAGCACCAACGCCCTGTGTTCATAACGCAGTAAAAACATAATCTAACATCATGTGGTAGGAGATGTCTACAGGAGATGGAGCCATCTATCAAAGACAAAGTGAGCTATCAGTCTTTGTCCCAGGATGGCACAGCAGCACGGTGGTTAGCGCTGTGGTTTTACAGCAAGAAGGTTCTGGGTTCGAGCTATCAGTCCTTAATTTTTCTGTCACCATAGTAATGAGTACTTCTTACTTACTAGCTTGTCCACCGTCTTTTTATCTTTCACTGTTGTTGACATGGGTGGAACAGCGGTTAGCGCTGTTGCCTGCCTCACAGCAGGAAGGTTCTGAGTTTCAGCCTGGGTTGACTCGCTGCTTTTCTGTGTGGAGTTTGCATGTTCTGCGTGCGTTGTCTTCAAGTACTTCAGCTTCCTCCCCACAGTCTAAAGCTGCAGCTTAGGTAGGAAGGAGTGTTATACTCACTCTCACACTGTGGTTATAACCACACATTCTTCTGACAGGAAGGAGTGTGTGTGGTTGTCTGTCTCTAAGTGTCAGCTTGTGATAGGCTGGTGGTGGCCTGTCTCAGGAGTGTCCTGCCTCTCACTCAGTGTCAGCTGGGATTGCTCATTGCATTTCAGGATATAGAAATCAGGTATTTCATTATACTGCTTTCCTTCTACCTGCCTCATCAGAGTAATTTCCTCTTTTCCAAAGCTACTTTCAGGATGAAAGAAATTTCCTGTCAAGAAACATTGCACACATTTTCACACACCCTGCCACTGACGTAACCACAGCGGCGCTCTGTAATGCGGAAATGTGTATCTGAGCCTCACTACACTGATATACTGTGCCAGAGTGTCTCTCCTTTGTGACAAAGATAGCTGGAAATGTTACAGGTGTTAGACTACATCAGGGTTGGCCAATCTCGGTCCTCAGGGGCTGCTGCCCTGCTCGTTTTCCAGCTATTTCTGCCCTACCCACTACTGATTACCTGGATCAGGTGTGTTCAATCAGTCAGAAGCTGGAAGATACCATCTTAGATGGGATTGGTCACCCCTGCTCTACATGGTGTTGTCTGCTTAAAGCCAGTGTGCATCTGCATCTGCATTGGAGCCAGTTGTCATCTTGGAAGTCAGGAGTTAATCTCATTCCATAAATTAACTTCATACTGTTAAGAAACTCTAATTGGTTTAATCAGGGAAGTGATTAGAAAACACAAAAAGTAGTAAATGGAAGGAAAATGATTTTACATTGAACTCTCAAATCACCATTTGGAGCAGTACTGTATCAGACAGTTGTTTAGTGTCAAAGCACGCACAGGGCATGTTGCTAATTGCTCATTTTAGGGATAATTAGTGTTTTCCTCCTGCTAAGGCCATGACTTGCTTCTTGAAAAGTGGGTTCAATTAACTTTACTGCTCCTTGTAGAAAATGGAGGGAACTAAAAAGCCCAATGTGAGTAATGAGGGGTTGAGCCAAGCTGCCCCCGTCGCTGCACGCTGCTCATGGCTTCTCTGATTATCCCTGTTAAATTAATCCTTTGGTTGTGATGGAAATTATGAATCTACATTTTGTATTCTCTGTGTACATTCTATTTTAGAATTATGCTGTTTGATATATGAACTGTGCCTCCCTGAAGTGAACTGTGTAAACACACAGTAGAACATGCTGTCCTCTATTGTCATGATAGATGAGCTGAGAATGAGCCCTGTGTAAGCAGTAAAGGCTTTATTCTATTATAAAGCCACGTCCGGTTCTTTCAAACCAGGAACTCAGAGGGACGACTCAGACCACTTGGATATATAAAAAATATAACCGTGCTGGTTTATTCAAAGGGTCACAGGCAAGAATTAACATTACACGTCCAGGCATCTTCCACCCCCAAAGCTGCTCGCAGGCAGCCCGGAAGAAGAAGCCCCGAACCTAATAGCCTATACAATTTAATCACTTCGTTGGGCTAGCCCCATCCTACACAGAAACGTCAACCGAGACGTCTCTCTCTCACCAGC